GTTTCTTCTTCTTCTTCTTCTTCTTCTTCTTCTTCTTCTTCTTCTTCTTCTTCTTCGCAGGGGTTTTTTTACGCGGATGAATGCAGATCAGTGTTCATTGTTTGCATGAGGTCAAAATTTAGTATAAAATTAAGGAGATTGCTAAGGGTCATGATTCAGTAGGTTTTGATGGGTATAATTAAGTTATCAGGTCTTGGTTCAGTATGAAATGATGGATATATAGCCAAATAACAGTGGAAAATGCGAGTTTGGAGGAAGGGGAGCCGGGGGGGGGGGCTGATATTTCAACAACAGTTTTAAATAGTCCTTTTATCATTATAATGTGGTTTGTGCTAATAGTCTTAGACACTGAATAACCTTACTTCCTTACTTACTCAAAAATAATAAACTCACTATTGTCACAGAAATCTCCTTCTTGTCCCATCCTTCATTCCCACAATTCCTCTCCAGGAGCTGTGGTCATGCACGGTGACGTCATCGACGACAAAGGCCGCCACTTCTGGGCACCACTTGTACAGGCAGGGGTCAAGTTCGTGGTTTTGGAACCGGATTTGCACACACCTGCCTGGAAGATGGTAGGATTTGAATCACTGGAACATCTTTTTGATATAGATTTTGTCCTAACCAATCCTTTTACGTGTAGAATACAGGTTCATACATTTGCACCCTTGACTGAAAGATGACGCGTTAAATGCTGAATTCACAACGAATAAAAGACTTTTCATCATGTATTTGCTTTCAAATCCTTCGGCTTCTTGCGGCATTTTAATTTTCAAACTTTTGAAGTTCGACCTTTATCGGTGGCCATGAGCGACTGGCAAGATGAATGAAAACATACATGTATGTGTAAAATAAAATTTATAAATATTTTTCTTTCAAACTTTACTTAGAGATGTCTCAAGGCAAAATACAGAGACAGCGTGGAAGGCTTATTATCAAGCAAAACTGAAGAGATAAAATATGAAGCAATAAAGAGCATACAATTGACACTTTCCCCCCTCGTAACCAATGCCTGCTGTTTTCACTAGAGCATCAGCCACAAGAGCCATCATTTCAAGAAATAAAACTACAGTCCAACAGAACACAAACAGCTTTATGTGGCGAAACAGTACCAAACCCTCCCTCTAAGCTGAAGGATTTGACGTTAAGATTTGCTCGCTTTTAAGCACAAGGGGGCTATCCCGAAAATGCTTTTCAGACAAAATAGAAGGTAAAGTTTTTGGACCCTTGTTCAGTTTCTTTAAAAGACAAGGTAAGTTTTCTCTGTAACCAATCAAATATACACACCAATGAAACCAAATTTGTCATATAGGTAGGTCAATGCCCACTTTTGGTGTAGGTTAAGTTTCTGGAAACTCCCGAAATCTGGGTTAGCCTGCTTGTCCTTCAGCGCGGCCATTTGAGGCCTGGAGAGAGTTTCATTTATGGGATCGGGAGACACGTACTTAAATCAAGCACTTTGATTATAGTACTCTCACAATGCTAAATTTTACTGCTGTTCGGCGCCTGTGATTGTAAACATGTGATACACTGAGGAGAGTTCTGTGACACCCAGGCTCGAAGTGGGAGGTTGGGAGGTTGGAATGAGCCACTGGTTGGTCCAACATCTTTCCTTTCTCTATAAAAAAAGAAAAGCAAATAGCGACAATAAGATAATAAGATAAGATCAGATAAGATAAGATAAGATAAAATCAGATCAGATCAGATCGGATAGGATAAGACAAGATGGTATCCATGGGATAATAAAGTATCATCTTATCTTATCTTATCTTATCTTAATATCATTGTCTCTATTTGTTTTTCTTTTTTTTCTCCCATCTCGCAATGGTCGTTTTCTCGTGGATGTGCTAGCTAGATATTCCAACTGACGCTATTTCCTCATGTCCTCTCAGTTCAAACTAGACGTCGGTCAGAGTGACGCTGACATCGAGAAATGCACGCGCAACGTCGACGCTCCGGATATTCAGAAAGTCTTCAAGTTCCGCCAAGAGCATCGGATTAAGGTATCACCTTCTGTCTGTATGTCTGTCTGTCTGTCTGTCTGCCTGTCTGTCTGTCTGTCTGTCTGTCTGTCTGTCTGTCTGTCTGTCTGTCTGTCTGTCTGTCTGTCTGTCAGTCTGTCTGTCACTCTCTCTCACCCTCTCTCTCTTTCTCTCTCTTTGCCCCCCCCCCCTGTCTCTCTATATATCTCTCTCTTTCTCTCTCTCTCTGTCTCTGTCTCTCTCTCTGTGTGTCTGTCTCTCTTCTTATCCGTCAATTGATTTGTGTCTTTGTTAGTCTGTCAATGCCATGTGAACAATCACGTATTGTATCAAGTGGTTTGTATTTCTGGTTTGCACCTCAAAGGCTCTGTACTCTATTTCCCTTCTGCCTAACATGTCCAAAACAAGAACGAAGTGACAAGGTTATCCAAAGAAAGATCAAATTTTGTTGAGGCACGATTAGTCTGGACGTACTTTCGTCGTTTCTATAATTCCCCATCCCACAAGCATGTATGAATGTGTACTGAAGGGTGCCACTTTATAGGAGCTAAAACACTGACTTACTGATAAGATCTTCCGCTGACTATGGCGGGGTATCCATTCCCATCCGGGTTAAGTGAGGAAAATTCGTGTAAAGTTCTTTTCCCAAGAACACACGTCGGGCCTGAAGTTCGAAACTACGACCACGAAACCTCATGATTACGAGTCTAGAAGCCTAACCACTAGACTACCGACGACATAACCTCATCATTACAGGTCCAATAGCCTCAAAGATCGTTCATAACAAGATAGTTCACTCAGCCAAAAAAGTGTCAGCGAAAGTCCGCGCACTGCTTCAGATGGCGGGGCGGTCTTTGTTTTGAAGCTCTCTTTCGTTTCTTCAAAAGAAGAATAGGAACAGCACAGCTTGCTCGTTTCACTTAAACTTTCTTTCCCACAAGTAGAGTAACTCTGTTTACAAAGCGGGCGCTTTTTCGCACAGGGCGCCTCCGGATTTTGAGGACACTTTCAATTGGCTTAAAGAGACGAGTGAACTATATCTTGTACGTGCGATCTTTGGTAGCCTTACCACTAGACAACCGACCCCACAGTACTGAAACAAAAAAATTTGCACATGATGTACTTTCAGAAAAGCGACCGCTCCAAGGTGAAGTCAGGGTTTGACATCATCCGTGAGCACCAGGGGTCGCTGTTTGAGCGAGTGAGCTCACACGACCCTGCAGCCATCTGTGTGGACAAGTGTGCCGTGCAGAGTGAGTCCCGTCGTCTTGTCACGCAAAAAAGGAAGACAAAGAAAGTCAACTTTCTGTTTTTTCGTACGTGTTTCGAGAACCTGAAAACCGGAGACCTAGAATCTACTGAACACCGTACACCTAGACCACGAAAAACCCCTAGACCCATTTTTTAATTCACATCTCAATTTTGAGAGAACCTGTAAAAGTTTTACGGCGTTTGCAACTACATGAGGTCATGACTCATTTGAGCGCCGGACACAAGTTGGTTGCTTTCACGTTAGTTCACACTTCAGCTTGGTTTTGCTTTATAGCTGGTTAAAAATTCGCGATGAAAATTTAAAAGTAAAAAAAAAAGCTGTTTATGTTTTGTTCAGAAACCGTTAATGAAGAGCTTTTCGAAGATTTATGTTGGCGAGCGCTGTAATACCCTTACAAAAAAACAACAACAACAACAAACAAGCAAACAAAAAAGATGAAGTTGAAGTTTTCAGCACGACAGGGTGTCGTTGTGACGTTGAGTTGTTGTGTCTTTGTGTGTCTGTGTGGTTGAGACGTTGTTTGGTTGTGACGTTATGACTTGGTGACGCTGTTACGTTGTGGCGCTGTGTCGTAGTGTCGTCTTGTGGTTGTGACGTTGTGACGTTGTGTCATTGTGACGTTGTGTGTTTGTGTGTCTGAACAGAGCACTACAAGATGGTCCTCCGCACTCACGGCGAGATGTGCCACATCAGTAGCCGCATCGACGACATGCTGCACTGCACGGCCGATGACGTCATCTACTGTGACTTCCCGCTCTCCTGGCTGCCTGGCCTGCCCTACTGCCACATGAGCTCCGGCTGTACTATGGTCAAGTCCACCCTGCTCGACTGTCCGCCAAGGAAAGTGGTCGCGGAGGTAGTTTTACGTTTTGTTTGGTCTCTTTTAAGCACAACCGGGCTATCCCGAAAAACACTGTTTTGAGTAAATCGAAGGTAAAGTTTTTGGATCCTTATTCAGTTTCTTTGAAAGACATGGAGACTTTTCTATATAACCAAACAAATATACTCACCAATGAAACTAAACTTCTCCCATACGTAGGGCAATGCCTACTTTTGGTGAAGGTTAAGATTTCTGGAAACCCTCGAAATCTTGGGTTAACCCGCTTGTCCTTAAAAGCGACTGTTTTAGTAAGTTTTTTCGGCGCTCGCAAGGTCATATGAGCGCCAAGGGGTGGATGTCAACACAGAAGTCCAAACAGGGAATCAGGCTTACTCTGCTCACCTCTCTAGCCTCAACAGCACACAGTCTGCTTCGACTATCAAGGCACCCCGGAAATAGTAGTTCACAAGAGAATGACAAACATTTGAAAGAAGTAGAGGATAAATGACGATAGCAAGGATGAGGGAATATAATAAAACAACAAGTATAATTACAAACATCTTTTTTCTCTCAAACTTTGCTTAGACGTGCCCCAAGGTGAAATACAAAGACACATGGATTCAAGGATAATGTTTGTTGGGGGTATTAAAAAAAATATCGTTATACATGTGCTGGATACGAAAGATGAGTTTTTTAAATATGCCCTTTGTAGAAGTAATTTTTTATAACGTCTCTCTAGTGTGTAGTTTCTGCTGTCTAGCGGTCTCGCTCCTTCCTTGCGTCAGATGACTGTTGTGTGTGTTGTGTTGCGTTGATCAACTTATGATTACTCAAACAAAAGAAGTGGGTGGTTGGCGGGTGCTGTGGTATGGTTTGCTCCATCATTCCCATCAATTATCTACAGCATTTATCTCTCTCCCTGCTTTTCTTATGTTTGTAACTCCCTTGGCTCTTCTATGACCTAGTTGTGTTGCAAGTTCCGTAAAACTCTTAATATGACACCACCAGCCCTCGCCCCACACACAAATACACAACAACAAAAAACCCAACTGACTACATAACCTTTGAACTGTGTACAGTTATCACCATACACTATTTTATGGATTGATAATTAACACGCAGTTCACAGGTTTCAATGTTTCGCATGTGGTTGAATAATGCATCTGATGTGATATGTACATTTTGTCAGCTTTACTTCTCTTTTTATATTGAATTTTGATGAGAGTAATATAATATAATTAATTAATTTTTTTTGTATACCTGCATGTGTTTTTACAGTCCTGTAAAACCAAGAAAAATTTCCTTCTAGAATAATAAAGTATTGTCTCTTAACAATAATAAATTGCCCCTCCAAATAACCTGGACCTGTTTGTTCGTCCGTCATCCTCTGTAGACCTGGTCTCTGATCGAGACGGAGAAATGCACGATGGCAGCGCTCCAGCCCCCCATGATCCAGATGCTGAGCTCTCACTGTGAAGACATGGCCGAGCCTCACTGGACCCTCCGCCTGCTCTCCACCAGTGGCTGGGTCCGACAGTCCGTCATGGATGCCATTGGCCCGTGCACACAGTCCATCGTCATATGCTACTCGCGGATTGGTACAATGCCGTTTCGCTACCTTAGATAAATTACAAAGTTATATTTTCTGCTCAGGCAGACAGAGGGAAAAGATACTGGGCAAGTTGACAATATGGCTGGGAACAGCAAGAACAACAGACACCATCGCAGCATGCAACGCAAGGCAGATTGAAGTAGAGGTCCATGATCGCCCACGTCAGTCGGCAAGGCACCAGATGATGATGATGATGATGACCTGCTCAGCACCTAGTTCTGATAAATTTGACGCAAACAGTTCCATATTTAATTTCACAACTTGTCAAGCTTTTCCGAATGCAGGTCTTTGAATATCTTGATAAAGACTCCAAATAATCTTACGATTTTGATAGAGCAAATAGAACATCTCTGTTTTCTGACCTCATGGTCTCAGCAACTGAAAACGACCAAAATTGTCAGATAGAACTTTGTAATTCTGAGGTAACGTATTTGTTATACATTTGTACTTTTTTTAGCTGGTTGTATCAAGGCAGGGATCGTAACTGACATCAAGATCATGGTTATTTTCCATAATACATTAAAATTTGTAGTTTTATTTGTCACATCCAATAATTCATTTTTTTCACTTCAGCGTTCGGATGAAATGACGCGTTGGTACGACATCATTCTTATATTTATTTAGCTGATTGCAAAAATATGGGGGCCTCAATTGTCAAGATCATGGTTATTTACCCCAATACATTTTCAGATTTAGTTGTCTTTTCCTATCACTGATTGTTTTCCTTTTCGTGTTTGGTGAAAATTAAGTGTTTGTAAGATTATGGTTTGTTATTTTTTTACCTGGTTGTATCTAGGCAGGGACCGTAATTATCATAAATATCATGGTTATTTACCTCAATACATTTTCAGTTTCAATTGTCATTTCTTATCGTTAATTAGTCCTTTAATGTTCTGTGGGAATGACGCAGTGGTATGGTACCAAATCGACTACTCAGGGTAAGACACTGTCATAAATCACTTTTCATAACGTCGTATGGCAAAGTGTTACGGCAAACAGTCGATGTGTCGTGTGGTAGATCTACATCATGGACAGTGACTATTGCTTATGTTCAGTTTTACTTGCCCCTTCCAACTATTGATTCTTTTCCGTGGGTGGTCGGTGGATGCTCAGGTGTGGTATACCCTTTCTTCCATTTCAAATATCTATCGTGTCGTCCTGATCTTTTCTACTTTTTATGTTTGAGACTGTCTTGTAACGCCTCCAATCTTAGGCACTTTTATGACCTTATTGTTTAGCAAGTACCTAAAAACACATCTTATTAAGATTTTTTTTTTAATTTGTCTCAATGTTCAGTGGAAATCTTGTTCTTTGTTTTATGAACTACTCTCCTCGGCTCTCTTGGAGATTCGAACAAACATTGTATAAAGACAGAGTTGTAATCACCAGCATGCAGGGCGCCAGAACGCAAGCGGACAAACACTAGCCATTAACCTGATCGTCGTATGTCCAATCTGGCAGAGACGGGCCTGATCGCCAGACTTCCGGTCAACACCCAGACGGCGTCCGTGTACTCGGAGGGCTGCATGGGTGACCTCAGTAACCCCGTGCGGACACGTCTGGACCAGAGCGGACAGAGCAATGAGACTGTCAAGGCCACTCCGGTGATACCTTGTTTCTGTGGATGTTTCTTCCATGTATAATTTGGTCCCC